GTGCTTGTATTGTGCAGGAGTGGTTTCAAGAACATGAGGGAGACTTTACCTTGCTTAGGTGGCCCCCACAATCACCAGATCTCAATCCAATTGAGCATTTGTGGGACGAAGTTAAAAGAGCCATTAGGCAGCTGGTTCCACAACCATCAAATCTCACAGAACTGGACAGTGCTATTCATCAGGCATGGTGTCAGATTTCTCGCATCACCTTTCAACATCTCGTGGAGTCAATGCCAAGAAGAATCGCCTCAGTATTGAAGGCAAAAGGTGGCCCAACAAAGTACTGATTGGGGTGGTCATAATAACCTGGCCACTCAGTGTATAATGCAGTGCAACAGCAGTTGGCTTGGAGAAGTTAATAAATGACCCCTGTGAAAGGCCCCTGAGAGATGGCTGTGGCGCTCAGGCAGGCCCACACCTGTGCTGGGCTGGCTATTCCCAGTACCTGAGGAGCTTGTTAAAAATACTCATTTCCAGGACCCCACCTTAGAGATTCAGACTCAGTAATTCTGAGATGATGCTCTGAATTCCAAGTTTTTAACAAGCTCCCAGGTGATTCGGAGGCCCAGCCAGCTTTGGGAACCAGGATGAGCCTGCTCTACAAGTCACCCCCTCAGAGGATGCTACACTCTCCCTCAACCTGGCTCTCAAGCTAATTGGGCTGTTGAGGAGTCTCTTAAGTATCAGCTATTTGTTTTATAAGTTCTTCTAGAGCAGTGGGCCCCAACTTGTGGGACCATTAGAATCATCTGGAGTCTAAGTTTCAAAGTCTAGGCCACAGACCAGCCCTGTTATCATGATCTCTGGGGCACGCGACACATCAATATTTAGGCTCCCTGGGTGATTACAAAGTGCCGGTAAGCTTGGAAACCGCTGCTCCATAGTCTTGCTAATCAAATAGTGGCCCACAGACAGCAGAATCAGCCTCTCCTGTAACCTACTTAGAAATGTAGAATCCCGGGCCCCTTCCCACCACCAAATTAAAATCTGTGTTGTTGTTGTTTAAATATACATATTTTTTATTGATTTCAGAGAGGAAGGGAGAAGGAGAGATAGAAACATTCATGAAGAAAGAGAATCATTGATTAACAGCCTCCTGCACACTCCATTCTGGGGATCTAGTCTGCAACCCAGGCATGTGCCCTGACTGGGAAGCAAACAATGACCTCCTGGTTCATAGGTCAATGCTCAACCAGTGAGCCACATTAGCCAGGCCAAAATCTGTTTTTTAACAAACTTCCATATAATGTGCATGCATATTCCAGTTTGAAAAGCCCAATTCTAGATTTTACTCTCTCCATTTGTTTGTAGGTACCAAGGTCAGTTCTGTAGAGCCGGCCAGGGAAAAGAACCATAGTGCTCCCCAGCAGATAACCAAGTTCGAATAAGCCAATGAAAAGAAATCATTTTTCAATGTCTAATAACCGCAGGAGGATCCTGCCAGCCACCTCAGCTATTCAGCACTTACAGACACCACGTGTTGACTCCACATTTCCATTCATTAACTATCAAAGCTAAAAGAGCCCTGAATAAGTTGATTAATTTGTGGGATGTAGCCTCAGCCCAGCTTGGTCAGTCTGAATGAAGCCACGCCCACCCAGATGCTGCTGGCCTCCCTCCTGTGGAGGACACACCTAGGGGATAGCAGCTGTGACTGCTGAGCTGGCTGAGGACGCGGGAGACACAGCAGGCAAATTGCCCACGCTGCTCTTTTCCTGGGAGAAAGGGGAGGAGAGATTCACGGACACCTTGTGTGCAACACCTGACTCAGAAAAAGGCGACTTGCCGAGGAAATCTCTGACAAACGTGGGCTCAGGAACAAAAGTCCAGAGCGGAATTATTCCTGCTGTAATTGCCAATTTGTCGCTGTCAGCTCAGCAGCCATATCCAATTTACTGTGCATAAGCAGCCGTGCTAGTGGCAGCAGGGCAAGGCAGCAGGGTGGGGTGCGGGGGGGAAAACCTAGAAGATTCTATCAACCAATGAGCAGGACCCTCACATGAGCCACCCTGGGTCAGGCTTGGCCATTGGATGGATTTGTCCTGCAGCAGAATTTCTCTCTCCCCACCCAGGGTAGTATGAGGAGCAAGTGATATTGTCTTGTCAGGACACTTTAGACACGACAGTTTTATTATCCAGTTTATCAGGACACTTTGTAGGGTGACGGGGAATGACCCTTATGGTTTTGCACTCCCTGTTTGCAACTCAGAGAGGGAACAGGACCCATGTTTCTTTCCTCTCTATTTTGCCCACTCTAGCATCCTTTGTAGATGTTTTATAGATCGCCAGTAGCTGGAAACTTCTGAAGATTGGCCAAAGAAATCAAGAAGAAGTGTGCCTAGTAAATTGTGTGCCAATGATAAGTTGGGGAGCAGTGGGAGCCCAGACCGAGCAGTAGAGTCACGCCGCACCCCTCTTTAGCAGCTCTGGTCAAGCTTTCAGAGGCTTTAGAGCAGGGGTGGGGCAGATTTTTTCTGCCAAGGGCCACTTGGATATTTATAACATCATTCGTGGGCCATACAAAATTATCAACTTAAAAATTAGCCCGCTAAATTTGGTCAAACATTTAATTAACTCGCCCCTAATACCTTGGCAGGGCCAGAGCAAAGGATTTCACGGGCCTCATACAGCCCACAGGCCAGACGTTTCCTATCCCTGTTAGTGAGTTCGGCCAGAGGTTGACAAACTTGAGCAAGTGACAGATTGCTCTGCCGACTGTTCTAAAACCCAAAATTGCTGGGCTCTACCCCCGAGGTCCAGACTGAAGCACAGGGATTTGCATTTCTATTGGGCCCTGGGTACTGCTCTTGCTGCTGGCTTGGGCACCACACTTTGAGAACCAAGTGAGCTAGGAGAACCCCGAGAGCAGCTGTGGAGAGA